CTTCCTTCCTTCCTTTCTTTCTTTCTTTCTCTCTTTCTTTCTTTCTTTCTCTTTTTCTTATTTCTTTATTTTCTTACCAAACCTCTTCCTCAGCTAAATGAACACAGAAAGTGCGTAAGCTTCAGGAATTTCAAATGTTTTTTAAATTATTGAACTCGTTACTTAACTTCGAGAACTTCGGCCACTTACGCTCAAAGCTAAGTTATAATTGTAACGTAATTTTAAACGAATAAAGGTATTATTTACAATGGTTTTTTTGCGATTAGCAAATCTTTAATTGTAAGACTGAGTAAGATACGAAATACTATCAATCGTAATATAAAAATTACTCAAGAAAATCACTATCATTTTCAAGGATTTTTAAAAATTTATTGTAACCACTGACTATAGTCGCGGTTAGCCCAGATACCTTCCCACAATCCTCTACGGGCCGACCTGTCTTCTTTGCGGTAAGGTAAACATATCGTAGTAATTAGAAAATGCACTTTAGGAGTCCCACTTTATAAACTAATAAACCAAGTCTTCATAAGAGGAGAAGTTATATATTTGCACTTGCTAAAACGCTTGCCACCATCCGCAAGGCATGCAAATGAAGAAGCCGCTAGTCCAATGCGTAAGTGGATTTGAGATATAAATCAAACACAAACACCTGACTTAATAATACTTCCCAGTGAAGGATATATACGGTACCGGTCAAAGAAACCGTGCAGAAAGTCTTAAACTCCAGCGAAAAATCCGGTGTCAAGTTCAGCTGTTGTAGAGATTTTGTGCCTTCAAATCATAAACTCTCTTGACTATTATGAACTGCTGATAATTTCACTTCGATCTTCGAGGAATACTTTGTGAAGGACAAGTGTAGCTGATTTTTGCAAAGGAAAAAATCAAACGTGGTTGGAAAATTGCTCGAAAAAAGTAAGAGATGTTTTCAACTGTTTTTATTATCAGTTTTTAAACGCTGAGAAATTTTCCTTTATGGAACACAAATGTAGCAGATTTTAGTCGAGTAAGACGGATGCATGCCATTTTTCCTAATTCAATTCTACATATTTTATTATTATTTTGATCTGACGATGTCTCGAGCTAACCTAGAAATATCTGATTAAGTCGGTTTAGGGTTAAAAATCATTTTGAAATAAGTTTCAGTTGTCGTCACTTCATTTATGCAATATGTAAATGTAACAATATATCTTTTATTCATTTTTCGATATTTTTAAATTAAAAAATGCTTTTAAAGATTCGGCACTTTTTTAGTTCTCTGGAATTTTTCAGGGATGAGAGTCCTGGTGTTATTGGTGTAGTATATGTTTAGTTTTCGTATTTGTAGACTTTCCAAAAATATTCCTAAGTGTTGCTTTATAACTTTTAAGTTCACGAGCCCCACCGACGGCTCCTAACGCCCTGGAGCAGTACATGACACAATATCAATCAACTGCGGTGTTTTTCATTTGTAAATTCTCATTAAAAAACGACGATAGATGCTGTTAAAGCAGGTCTGACTTCCGCTATCTTGGTGATTTGGAGTAAATTCTAAATCTGAAGAACTTTTCGCAAACAATCAAAAGTGCGTGAGAGGCCATCTCACTGGCCCATCAAGCTACACGGCGCCTCTTATTGCTCTTTATACGTCATTGTTTTTCTTCCTAAATTTGAACACTTAAGCTTAAGATAAGAGGCAGAGTCACGAGTGGATCATTGATCTAGGGATCTAGAACAATGTGTAGCAATGTCTCTGATCTTGATCTGTTTACAACGTGGTCTGGGGGGGGGTGGGGGGGCTAGGAAGCGGAACGTCACTGCAAGATCAGACCTCACAACGCGTTCAAAAACATGTTTATATACTGATTGGAAAAATTTTCCACGCCCGAGTGACACTAATATTAGCGGAAGTTTGAGTCTATTCTATCTATACGCGACATGATCTTAGCATTCGGCGATGAAACCCATCCAATCTATCACCCCTAATATTCAATATTTCTAAATAAATTGAACTAAGTGCCGGCCGAGAAGGATATATTTCAACCACTGACACCAGAGATCCTGAGAACGATACGCAAGGCTAAAAGCAATTTCTTTGGCAATCATTATATTATTGGAACAAGTAATGACTTTCGGCGTTTAAGCTTAGCAAGTTTTCATTACAAGCCTGGTATGTGGTCTTTCGAATGTCTTATTGACTCGACAGAAACACAGCTACGCTGACGTCTCCTTTGTGACTCGCTTTAATCATAGAATCTCGCGGATGCCAATTAGTGTGATCTATAGAAAATAACCCCAATTTCAAGGCCTGCAAAGACATTGTGAGTGTCCCTGTACGGAAGAATATAGGACTGAATGTTATCAATTTTGATTCAGTTGCAGACGGACATAGCCACTGCAACGAGAACACCTGAAGCTCGTCAAACTACAAGGACAGTCTCCGAAAAAAGGTACGAATTTATTTAAACTTCGAGCTGTGTCGTAATCGACTAAATTCATCTTTTACACCGAGAAAAAAATAGAATAATAGTCACAAGAAATGTGAAACTTGATAGGGTATGGCGGAACTTTCGTTCATATTAAATTCTCGCTTTTAAATGCATTTTCGATATTTCTATTTGTTTACAAACAGTTAAAAATATTATTTTTTCCGAAGTGAATCGGATATTTGAGAATTGAAGCAAATTGAAGATACTTTTTTCGGCGTATTTTGAAATTTCTTCTGGTGTAGAGTTACGAGTTCTTAACTGTTTTATGCCGAAATGAAAATTTGAATTTTGTCGGTATGTTTTCATTTATCTCAGTTACGTTTTGATTGTAATTAATTTTGGTAGGTTTTTTCACGTTTAAGCTCGCTGATATACACGTATCACTTTACATCTTTCATAACTTTTATACCGATTTTCAATAACATTGGCACTCTTTTCCTCTCTACAAAAAATATCTTGAATTTCCGAGAATCTTTTTCATTCGTAATTGGTTTTTATGTTATGACGTGTAGCTTAGAGAGGAATAAAAAGAGGATTCTGGTCGAGACAGATTAAAGTCGAGAACTCGCTAATTAAAAAACATTAATTAATGGGAATTGAATTTTGACAAACCCGTCGCTTCGTCATAATAGATAATTAAAAACAAGGGACAATAACAAAGTCAGAATTGAACTACGTTGGAGGAGAATTCAAATGCACGCTAAAAATAAAAACGCGCAGGAAACAACGCTTTACTCTTTGTCCACTAATGCTTTGCGAATGGCATTTTATTTTGCGGAAAAAATGTGGGCTTCCTGTGTGTGACTTTGAGTCTTGGGTTAAAAAGACAGGGATCCCAATGTAGATTAATTCAGTATTGATGGCGGTTTGCGTTTGTTATTTTCTTGAATTTGAAATTAAAATTAATTGGTATAAGATGCACATAGCCTTAAGCAAAACTGCGCGTTCACACCCACACTACCAAAACTCTCACAAACGGTAAACTTGGCAATTTTACGATCACACGAACTGTTCAAGTGCGGATTTCCCATGAAATATCTCCTTGTATAGGTTATACGTTAACAGTTTTTGAAAAGAAACAAATTGAAAACGTGCTGGAGAGTAATGAACGCCGTCTTTTTAATTACTTTTTTAATCAACGTTTTTACCCGTTAATTACAATTTCCCCATCCATATGAAAATCACTGGTGTCAAATGCCATATATCATATTCCGGCGAGCTCACTTCCGGTACGAAGCTCATATGTTGAGCGAGAAAATACACGGATTTTTCGACTATTTTACGCTCTCTCGTGAATTTAAGTGAGTCTGTCTTTCATTTACCACTGGATT